CCACCAAATAAGAGCCAATAGAACAGAGCAGTCAGTCAACTGTACCCAACTTATGTTTTTCCTGTTGGGTATTTATTCTGCTTTACATTATTCATGATGCTATGAGACTGGAATGACAGGAAGTGGGAGGTGTATTTTATTTAACGTCATATCTCCCATTGTTCTAAAAAGTGCAAAAACAAATGCCCCCAGGGGCTCTGGGATGGCGGTGCTACCACCCAGGCCCTCCTAGGGGTGGCGCGACCCATGGGAACTCTTAGAGCGCCCTCCCAGGAGCCCTATAGCTTCCTTGGTGGGTGCTATCCTATATTGCATCGATCCAGCAATCCCTTATAACTGTGATTGGTGGACTGGTGTAGATCACCAAATAACAGCCAATAGGAGAACAGAGCAGTCATTCAGCACAGCACCCCAACTTATGTTTTCCTGTTGGACATTTATTCTGCTTTACATTATTCATGATGCGATGAGACTGGAATAGCGATGGGAGGTATATTTAATTAACGTCACTCTCCCATTGTTCTAAAAAGTGCAAAAATAACTGCCCACAAAGGCCCTGCAGAAGTGGCGCACCCTGGGGCCCTCCCATTTGACCTGCCAGGTGAAGCACCCAAGGGCCTCCTAGGTGCGACAGGCGCTCCCAGAGTGGCCTCCCAAGGAAGCCGGTGCTCCCAGGGCCCTGTCAGAGGCTGTAGCACTGCAAGGGATTCCAGGGTCGTTGGCGCCTACTTGGTGGTGGTGCTGAGGGTTTCCCAAGGGCAGCAGCGCCATGAGGTTCTCAGGGGGCCCTCCCAAAGTGCTTAGTGCCACCAGGGGCCCTCCCCGATCTGGAGGCCCTACAAGGGGCATCCCAAAAGCGACAGCGCCCCCAGGCTCCCTCCTTCTTTGTGGCGGCGACCTCAGGGGCCCACCCAGGTGCTATGGCGCCCTCAGAGACCCTCTCAGGGGCGGTGGGGGCACTCAGAGATCGATGGTGTCTGGCGGCTCTCCAGGGCAGCAGTGCCTGAGGTCCTTCCAGAAGTGGTAGTGCCCCCCCTCAGTGGCGACGGCTCATCCAGGGACCTCCTGGGAACGATGGCTCCTCCAGGGGCCATCCTTAGGGAGCAATGGCTTCCCGGGCACTCTCAATGACCTTGGTACTCCAGGGGGCCCTGCCAAGCTGAGCACAGCAGCCAGCGCCCCATGGCTCTCCTGTTGCGCCGGCGCTCCCAGGGCCATCCAGGGACTAGGGTTCCTTGGGTTCCTCCTGAGGGTGGTCGCCTCCACGGCCCTTCAAGGTGGCTGCGCCTTCAGGAACCTCGTGAGAGTGGGGGGGCATTGGGGGCCCTGGAAGGGCAGGGTTTTTAGGGACCCTTCATGGGGCAGCAGGAGCACTCAGAGGCGGTAGCGTCAGCATGAACTGCAAAAGGGCAGAACCCCCAAGGAGCCCTGCCAAGTGGCCTGTGGCACCCTCAGCTGTCTTACAGGGGCTGGTGCAGCCCCAGCAATCCTCAGGCGGCAGCACCCCGGGGAGCTCTCCGTGGTTGGCAGTGATGCCACCGGCCCTCCCAGGAGTGCAGCGGGCCCCAGGGACCTTCTGGAAGCGCCCCCTCCCAGGAACCCTATGACACTTAGTCGTTGCTATTGTATATATTGCATACATCCAGCAATCCCTTGCTTAACTGTGATTGGTGGACTAAATTAATAGATCACCAAATAACAGCCAATAGGAGAACAGAACAGTCAGTCAGCACAACACCCCAACTTATGTTTCCTGTTGGATATCTATTCTGCTTTACATTATTCATGATGCTATGAGACTGGAATGACGATGGGCGGTGTATGTTGTGCGTCATATCTCCCATTGTTCCTAAAAAGTGCAAAAACAACTGCCCCCGGGCTCTGCAGGAATAAGCCGGTGCTACCACGTGCCCTCTTGGGGCGGCGGCATTGTAGGGAGGAGAACTCTTGGTGCCCCTCCTGGAGCCCTATGCGTCTGTGAGTAGTATGTCATTATATATTGCATACGTCCAGCAATCCCTTACTTAACTTTGTGATTGGTGGACTAAATTGAATCAACCAAATAAAATAATAGGAGAACAGAGCAGTCAGTCAACACAGCACCCCAACATGTTTTCCTGTTGGTATTTGTCTGCTACATTATTCATGATGCTATATGAGACTGGAGATGTCGATGGGAGGTGTGTTGTTGCGTCCTTATCTCATTGTTCTAAAAAGTGCAAAAACAAATGCCCCCAGGGCTCTACAGGATTAATTTTCTACCCACGGGCCCCTCCTAGGGGTGGCGGCGACCCCATGGGAACTCTTAGAGCGCCCCCCTCCCAGGAGCCCTATAGCTTCCTTGGTGGGTATATAAACATATGTGCATCGTCAGCAATCCCTTACTTAACTGTGATTGGTGGACTAGGTGTAGATCCACCAAATAACAGCCAATGGAGAACAAGGCAGTCAGTCTAGCTGGCACCCCAACTTATGTTTTCCTCTTTGGATCTTCATCCTACTTCATTATTCATGATCACGATGAAGACTGGAATGGCGATGGGGAGGTATATTTATTTAAAGTCATATCTCCCATGATTCTAAAAGTCAAAAATAACTGCTAAGGCCCTGCAGTGGCGCACCCTGGGGGCCCTCCCGTTCGACCTGCCAGGTGGAAAACCCCAGGGGCCCTCCTAGGTGGGCAAGCGGCTCCCAGTGGCCTCCAGAGGCAGTGCTCCCAGGGGCCCTGTCAGAGAGCTGTGGCACACCCAAAGGTTTCCATGGTCGGGTGGCGCCCTACTTGGGCGTGGTCCAGTGCTGGGGGGTTTTCCCAAGCAGCGGCGCCGCCAGAAGGTTCTCCCAGGGGCCCTCCCGATGCGGAGGCCCTGGGGAACCTCCCAAAGCGACAGCACCCCAGGCTCCCTCCTTCTTTGTGGCAGCGACCTCAGGGGCCACCAGGTGCTATAGCGCCTCAGAGACCCTCTCCAGGGGCGGTGGGGGAGCCTCAAGGTCGATGGTGTCTAAGCAGCTCTGCCAAGGCAGGCAGTGCCCCAAGGTCCTTCCAGAAGTGGTAGTGCCCCCCCCCTCAGTGTGACAGCTCATCCAGGGCCTCACAAGACGTGTAAGCTCCTCCAGGGGCCATCCTTAGAAACAATGCTTCCCAGGCACTCTCAGCAGCAGGTCCTCCAGGGCCCTGCCAAGCTGTGGTGCCCGAAAGCTTCTCCTGTTGCGCGGCGCTCCTGAGGGCCATCCTAGGGACTAGGGTTCCTTCAGGTTCCCTCCAAGAGGTGGTCGCCTCCACGGCCCTTGGGTGGCTGCACTTCAGGGGCCCTCGTCAGGGAGTGGGGGCGACAGGGGCCCTAGAGGCGGGTTTTTGGGACCCTTCATGGGGCAGGGGGCCTCAGAGGCAGTAGCGTCACCGCCCAGACTGCCAAAGGAGGCAGAGCCCCCAAGGGCCTGCCAATGTGTGCCTCAGGAGTCTACAGGGGCTGGGAGCGCCTAACAGCAATCACCAGGCAGCAGCACCCCCAGAAGGGCTCTCCGTGGTTTGGCAGTGATTCCACGGGCCTCTGGGTGCTTGAGCCCTGGGGACCTTCTAGGCGCCCCTCCAAAGGCCTATAAGCTTCGCTTAGTGGGCGCTGTGTATATATTGCATACATCAGGCAATCCGCCCATAACTGTGATTGGTGGATAAATTGTAGATACCGCAAATATTGCCAATAATAGGAGAAACAGAACAGTCAGTCAGCACAACGCACCTTAACTTATGTTTTCCTGTTGGATATCTATTCTGCTTTACATTATTCATGATGCTATGAACTGGAATGACGATGGGCGATTGTATTTATTTAACGTCATATCTCCCATTGTTCTAAAAGTGCAAAACAACTTCTTTAAGGAATGTCTACAGGAATAGCGGTGCTACCACGTTCCTCCTAGGGGGTAAGCAGCGACCCCATCAGAACTCTTAGAGGCGCCCCTCCCAGGAACCCTATAGCGTCCTTGGTCATGCTATCGTATATATTGCATCACGTCCAGCAATCATACTTAACTTTGTGATTGGTGGACTAAATTGAATCACAAATAAGAGCCAATAGGAGACAGAGCAGTCCAGTCAGCACAGCACCCCAACTTATGTTTCCTGTTGGGTATTTATTCTACTTTACATTATTCATGATGCTATGAGACTGGAATGACGATGGCTGATTATGTTTATTTAACGTCATATCTCCATTGTTCTAAAAAGTGCAAAAACAAATGCCCCCAGGGCTCTACAGGATGGCCGGTGCTACACAGCGGGCCCTCCTAGGGATGTAGCGACCCCATGGGAACTCTTAGGCGCCCCTCCCAGGAGCCTATAGCTTCGTAGTGGTACTTTACTCATTATATATTACATCGTCCAGCAATCCTTACTTAACTGTGATTGGTGGACTAAATTTAGCAGTCCACCAAATAACAGCCAATAGGAGAACAGAGCAGTCAGTCAGCACAGCACCCCCAACTTATGTTTTTCCTGTTGGATATTTATTCTACTTTACATTATTCGCGGTAGGACTGGAATGACGATGGGAGGTATATTTGTTAACGTCATATCTCCCATTGTTCAAGATGCAAAAATAACTGCCAAAAGGCCCTGCAGCGCACCCTGGGGCCCTCCCATTTCTGACCTGCCAGGTGGGCGCCCCAAGGGCCCCTCCCTAGGTGTGACAGGCGCTCCCAGTGGCCCTCCCAAGCCAGCAGTGCTCCCAGGGGGCCCTGTCCCAGAGGCTGTGGCACGCAAAGGGATTTCCAGGGTCGGTGGCGCCCTACTTGGTAATTGGTGCTGCCAGGGGTTTCCCAAGGGCAGCCCAGGCGCCGCCAGGGATTCTCCCAGGGCCCTCCCAAAGTGGCAGTGCCACCAGGGCCCCTCCCAAATCTGAGCCTAAAGGGCCTCCCAAAGCGACAGTGCCCCCAGGCTCCCTCCTTCTTTGTGGCGCTTGACCTCCCAGGGCCCACCCAGGTGTATGGCGCCCTCAGAGACCCTCTCCAGGGCAGTGGGGGCACTCAGAGTCAGTGGTGTCTGGCGGCTCTCCCAGGAGCGGCAGTGCCCCCAAGGGTCCTTCCAGAAGTGGTAGTGCCCCCCCTCAGTGGCGACGGCTCATCCAGGGACTCCACAGGAACGATGGCTCCTCCAGGGGCCATCCTTAGGGGCGGTAGCTTCCCCGGGCACTCTCAGCGGCTTGTAAGATCCTCCAGGGCCCTGCCAGGCTGTGGCGCCTCATGGTGGCACTCTCCCTGTTGCGCCGGCGCTCCCAGGGGCCATCCAGGGGACTAGGGTTCCTTCAGGTTCCCTCCCAGAGGTGGTCGCCTCCACGGCCCTTCCACGGGTGGCTGCGCCTTCAGGGGCCCTCGTCAGGAGTGGGGGCGACCCCGGGGAGACTTCCCTGGAAGGGGCAGGAGTTTTGGGGACCCTTCATGGGGCGGGGGCACTCCAGGCAGTAGCGTCACCGCCCAGACTGCCAAGGCAGAGCCCCCAGGGCCCCTGCCAATCGTGCTATGGTACCCTCAGGTGTCAAACAGGGGCTGGGGCGCCCCAGCAGGCAATCACTCAGGGCAGCGCTTTTGAGGGCTCTCCGTAGTTGTGAGTGATTCCCGCAGGCCCCTCCCAGGCGTGATGGCAAGACCCTGGGGACCTTCTAGGCGCCTCCCAGGAGCCCTATGGCTTCATGGTAGATGCTATTGTATATGTGCATGCATCCAGCAGTCGCCCACTTAACTGTGATTGGTGGACTAAATTAATAGATCCGCAAATAACAGCCAATAGGAGAACAGAAACGATCCAGTCAGCACAGCACCCCAACTATGTTTCCTGTTAAGGTATTTATTCTCTTTACATTATTCATGATGCTATGAGACTGGGGCGATGGGAGGTGTATTTATTTAACGTCCTTATCTCCCATTGTTCTAAAAAGTGCAAACAAAATCTTTGAGGGCTCTACAGGATTAGCGGTGCTACCACGGGCCCTCCTAGGGGTGGCCCGGCGACCCCATGGGAACTCTTAGGCGCCTCCCAGGAGCCCTATAGCTTCCTTGGTGGCGCTATCCCTATATATTGCATACGTCCAGCAATCCCTTACTTAACGCTGTGATTGGTGGACTAAATTGTGAATCCACCAAATAACAGCCAATAGGAGAACAGAGCAGTCAGTCAGCACAGCACCCCAACTTATGTTTTCCTATTGGATATTTATTCTGCTTTACATTATTCATGAAGTGATGAGACTGGAATGGCGATGGAGGTATATTTATTTAATCATATCTCCCATTGTTCTAAAAAGTGCTAAAACTCTTTGCCCTACAAAGGCCCACCAGGCAGCGCACTGGCCCTCCCATTTGACCTGCCAGGTGAAGCGCCCCAAGGGCCCACTCTAAATCTTGACAGGCGCTCCCAGTGGCCCTCCCAGGGGAGGCGGTGCTGCAGGGGTCCCTGTCCCAGAGGCTGTGGCACACCAAAGGGATTTCCAGGGTCGGTGGCGCCTCGCGTGGTGCTGTAGGGGGTTTCCCAGGGCAGGGGCGCCGCCAGAGTTCTCAGGGGCCCTCCCAGGTGGCACACAGGGGGCCACTGATGCGGAGGCCCTACAAGGGGCCTCCCAAAAGCGACAGCGCCCCCAGGCTCCAACAGGAAAACATAAGTTGGGGTGTTGTGCTGACTAACTGCTCTGTTCTCCTATTGGCTGTTATTTGGTGGATCTTCAATTTAGTCACAATCACAGTTAAGTAAGGGATTGCTGGATGTATGCAATATATACAATATACGACCAAGGGAAGCTATAGGCTCCTGGGAGGCGCCTCTAGGGTCCCCGGGATCCTTGCTTACCCCTGGGAGGGCCCTTGGAATCACTGCAAACTACGGAGGCAGTGCCGCCGCCCGAGGATTGCAGTTGGGCACCCCCAGCCCCTGTAAGACACCTGGGGTTTACCACAGCCCTGGCAGTGCCAGGGGCTCCTGCCTCCTTTAAGGAGTCTGGGCGGTGGCCTGCCTCTTGGGTCTTCGCCACCGCCCCCATGAAGGGTCTAAAAAACCCCGCCCTTCCAGGGGCCCCTGGGGTCCGCCCCACTCCTGGCCAGGGGCTGAGGCAGCCACACCCGTGGAAGGGCGTGGGCGACCACCCTCTTGGGAGAGAGAGGAACCTGGAAGGAACCCTGGTCCTGGGATGGCCCCTGGGAGCGCGGCCTGCAGGGAGAGCTCGGCGGGGGCGCCACAGCCTCCTGGCCATTTCGGAGAGACCTGCTGCCGCTGAGAGTGCCAGGGAAGCTACCACTTCCAGGATGGACTGGAGGAGCCATCGTTCCTGTGGGGCCCCTGGATGAGCCGTTGCGACTGAGGGGGGGCACTACAACCTGGAAGGACCCTTGGGGGCACCACGCTCCTGGGGAGGCAGCTTGTGACACCATCGACTCTTGGAGTGCCCCCACCGCCCCTGAGAGGGTCTCTGAGGGCGCCATAGCACCTGGGTGGGCCCCTGAAGGTCGCCGCCACAAAGAAGGAGGAGCCTGGGGCACTGTCGCTGGGGAGGCCTTGGGGCCAGCCTCCGCGCTCCGGGGAGAGAGACCCATGGTGGCACTGCCACCCTTGGGAGGGGCCCCTGGGAGGGAACCCCTGGCGGCACCGCTGCCCTTGGAAACCCCTGGCAGCACCACCACCTCCTCGCGAGGGCGCCACAGAGCCCTGTAAATCCTTGGGTGTGCCACAGCCTCTGACAGGGGCCCTGGGAGCACCGCTTGCCCCACCCTGGGAGGAGCCACTGGGGAGGCGCCGTCGCCACCCTAGGAGGGCCCCTTCAGGGCCCTTCATGGCAGAGACAAATGGGGAGGGCCCCAGGGTGCACTGCCCTGTGGGGCACCTGTGGGCAGTTGTTTTTGCACTTTTTAGAACAATGGGGAGTGTAGCGTTAAATAAATACACCTCCCCATACGTCATTCCAGTCTCATGGCATCATGAATAATGTAAAAGCAGAATAAATATCAACGGGAAAACATACATTGGGGTGTTATCACTGACTGCTCTGTTCTCCTATTGGCTGTTGTTGGTGGATCACAATTTGGTCACAATCACAATTAAATGAGATTGCTGAACGTATGCAATATATCAAATATACGACCATAGACTATAGGGCTCCTGGGGCGCCTCCTAAGAGTTCCCGGCGGTCGCCGCCACCCCTAGGAGGAGCCCGTGGTATACAGCCATTCCTGTAGAAACCCCTGGAACCAGTTGTTTACTTTTAGAACAATAGAATGTAGCGTTAAATAAATACACGCCCATAAATTACATTTCCAGTCTCATAGCATCATGAATAATAATAAAGCAGAATAGATATCCAACAGAAAACATAAGTTGGGGTGTTGTGACTGACTGCTCTATTCTCCCTATTGGCTGTTGTTGGTGGAGTTCCACAGTGCAGTCACCAATCACAGACGAAATGAGTTGCTGGGCGTGTACAATATATGATAGCCTGACCAAAAGAAGGCTATAGGGCTCTGGGAGGCGCCTCTAAGAGTCCCTGGTGCGCCCGCCCTAGGAGGAGCCCGTGAAGTACTTTTTGTAATTCTAACCAGAGCCTCCTGGGGCAGTTGTTTTTGCACTTTTTAGAACAATGGGAGATATGGCGTTAAATAATCACCTCCCATCGTCATTCCAGTCTCGCTAGCACATCATGAATAATGTAAAAAGCAGAATAAATACCCAACAGGAAAACATAAGTTGGGTTGCTGTATGCTGACAGCCTGCTCTGTTCTCCTATTGGCTCTTGATGGGGTGGATCTTCAATTTAGTCCACCAATCACAGTTAAGTAAGGGATTGCTGGACGTATGCAATATATGTAATGTACGACCAAGGGCGCTATAGGGCTCCTGGGGCGCCTCTAAGAGTTCCCCATAGAGATGCCGCCACCCCTAGGAGGGCCGATGGTAGCACCATGCGTTACCCTGTAGAGAGCCCTGGGGGTGATTGTTTTTGCACTTTTTAGAACAATGGGAATGTAGCGTTAAATAAGTACACACGCCCATCTCGTCATTCCAGTCGCACAACATCATGAATAATGTAAAGCAGAATAGATATCCAACAGGAAAACATAAGTTAGGGTGTTGTGCTGACTGGCTGCTCTGTTCTCCTAATGGCTGTTATTTAGTGGATCTACAATTTAGTCCTCAATCACAGTTAAATAAAAGTTGCTGGGCGTATGCAATATATCACGATACTTACGACCAAGCTATAGGGCTCTCCTGGGAGGGGCGCCTCTAGGGGCCCTGGGAGTGCCGCCACCCCTAGGAGGGGCCGATGGTAACACCGCCATTCCTATGCCGAGCCCCTGGGGCAGTTGTTTTTGCACTTTTAGAACAATGGGAGATGTAGCGTTAAATAAATACACCGCCATCGTCATTCCAGTCTCATAGCATCATGAATAATGTAAGCAGAATAGATATCCAACAGGAAACATAAGTGGGGTGTTTGTTGCTGACTGACTGCTCTGTTTCTCCTGTGGCTGTTATTTGGTGGATCTACAATTTAGTCCACCAATCACAGTTCAAAATAAGGGATTGCTGGGCCGATATGCAATACATACGATACCACGACCAAGCAAGCTATAGGGCTCCTGGGGCGCTGTAGAGAGGCCACTGCGGTCTTCGCGCCACCACCCCTGCGAGGGAGCCCGTGGTAGCACCACCAATCCCTGTAGAGCCCCTGGGGCAGTTGTTTTGAGAATTTTTAGAACAATGGGAGATATGACATTAAATAAATACACCGCCCATCGTCATTTAAGTCTACATAGCATCATAGACCAATGTAAAAAGCAGAATAAATAATATCCAACAGGAAAACATAAGTTGGGGTGCTGTGCTGACCCAGAAGCTGCTCTGTTCTCCTATTGGCTGGCTCTGTTATTTAGTGGATCTACAATTTAGTCCACAATCACAGTTAAATAAAGGATTGCTGGGCGTATGCAATATATCACGATACTTGCGACCAAGGGAAGCTATAGGGCTCCTGGGAGGCGCCTCTAAAGTTCCTGATTCGCCGCCACCCCTAGGAGGCCGATGGTAGCACCATAATTTCCTGCCATAGGAAGCCCCTGGGGCAGTTGTTTTTTGAACTTTTTAGAACAATGGTAGATATGACATTAAATAATACACGCCCATCGTCATTCCAGTCATCGCATCATGAATAATGTAAAGCAGAATAAATATCCAACAGGAAGCATAAGTTGGGGTGTTATTGTGACTGACTGCTCTGTTCTCCTATTGGCTGTTATTTGGTTGGATCTACAATTTAGTCCACCAATCACAGTTAAAGCAAGGATTGCTGGACGTGTCACAATACTCTCAAATATACGACCAAGGAAGCTATAAGCGCTCCTGGGAGGCGCCTCTAAAGAAGGTCCCTGGGGTGCCGTCACCCCTAGGAGGTGGCGCCTCTAAGAGGTCCCCTGGGGTCACCGTCACCCCCTAGGGCGCCTCTAAGAGGTCCCATGTGGGGTCGCGCCACCTAGGAGGGCCCGTGGTAGCACGCCATTCCTGCTCCTGGGAGGCCCCTGGGGGGCAGTTGTTTTTGCACTTTTTAGAACAATGGGAGATATGACA